TCACCTCAGCCTCCCAAAGGCGCAGGATTACAGGCTGAGCCACCGAGCCCGGCTAAGAAAAGCTATTTTAAAAAAATGTTTTCCTGGTGCTGAAATTCATAGATTTTCATGTTTCACCAAGCCAGGTGATAATCTAGCTCGCCTGAAAAACCTAAAAAATACAGACTCCTCAAGTTGAGAGTCTGCTGTAGTCCATTATCTAAGGAGACCCAAAATCTGTATTTAAGGTACTTCTGCCGGGTGCAGTGGCCCACACCTGTAATCCCAGCACTTTGGGAGGCAGAGGCGAGAGAACTGCCTGAGTCCAGGGGTTCAAGACCAGCCTGGGCAATACGGTAACATCTCATCTCTACAATTTAAAAAAAAAAAAAAAATTAGCCAGGTGTGGTTGTGCATGCCTGTAGTTCCAGCTACTTGGAAGGTTGAGGCGGAAGGATCCCAGCAGGTCAAGACTACATAGCCATGAGTGTGCCATTATACTCCAGCATGGGTGACAGAGTGAGACTCTAACTCAAAAAAAAAAAAAAAAAGACAATTCCCAGGTGATTCTTTTTTTTTTTGGAGTTGGAGTCTTACTTTATTGTCTAGGCTGGAGGGCAGTGGCATGCTCATGGCCATCACAGCCTCGACCTGCTGGGCTCAGGCAATCCTTCCGCCTCAGCCTTCCAAGTAGCTGAAACTACAGGCATGTGCCACCACACCCAGCTAATTTTTTTTTTTAATTGTAGAGATGAGGTCTCACCAAGTTGCCCAGGCTGGTCTCTAATCTGTGAGCGCAGGCAATCCTCTCACCTCAGCCTCGAAAGTGCTGGGATTACATCGCTGAAGAGCCATCAGAAAAGACAAACAGTTTTGAACAGAGTATCTCTCTTTTTTTTGAGTCCGAGTCTCACTCTGTCGCCTAGACTGGGGTGCAGGGGCACACTCACGGCCACCACAGTCTCGACCTGCTGGGGTCAGATGATCCTTCCACCTCACCCTTCCAAATAGCTGGAACTACAGGTGTGCACCACCACACCTGGCTAATTTTTTGATTTGTTGTAGAGACGAGGTCTCGCCAGATTGCCCAGGCTGATCCCGAACCCCTAGGCTCAGGCAATCCTCTCACCTCTGCCCCTCAAAGTGCTGGGATTACAGGCGTGAGTCACTGGCCCGGATAAACAGAGTATCTTAATAAGTTCCAAGTACTTTATGCACAGTGCCTGAACTGACCTTCATATCAACCCATTCTACAGATGAGAAAACTGAGATTGAATGTTCTTTCAGTGGCCCATGGTCATACAATTAGTGATGGAAGAAGGCTCTACTAGGGTTTTCAAAATTTTCCCGGGAAACGATAGTGAAGCTATCTAGGTCATGGGTTTTTTAAAAAAAAAAAAATCTAGCCCTGCAACCCAGACCTTCCAAGGCATCTGCATTTTTAAAAATATCTGTATCTTTGGGGGAAGACCCGTTTGCGGTCACTGCACCGGGCAGTGCGGCCTCCTGAATGAACAGCAGAGGGCGCGCCTGGACGCTGCCAGGTGATTCCCCGCGGGACCCATGGTCCCCAAAGGCAGCCGGCCTCTCCTGGGAACCCTCGAATCTTCTACCCGGAGCTCTTTAACAATCACTTCCACTTCGCATCGCTCCTGCCAAGCTACAACACGGGACCCGCGCCTGAGGCAAGCCTGCGTGCCCACTCTCCTCGCAGGTGGCACTCGAGGGCAGCGCGGGACACGAGAGGCCGTCAGGGTCCCAGGTGCGTCCCAAGGCCCCCTGCGGCCCCCTTACTTGGCATAGTAAACCCAGCCGTCCTTGGTGGTTCTCTCCTCCCAGCCTGGGGGCAGCTCGTCCTCACTGTCCGTGTCGTCCAGGCCCGCGTAGCGCAGAGCTGCCATGGCAGACTGCGAAGGTGCTCGGTCACCGGGCCGCCGGCCGCCGGATCGTCTCGCCCAGGAACTCTCGCACTCCGGCTTCAACCGAGCGCCGCGCGCGTTGGGGGCCCGACCGCTCGCGCCTGCGCACTGCGCCACTCAGGGCCACTCCACCAACCAAGTCGCTGAAATCCCCTCTCCGGGGTTTTGAAGCTGCCAGCGCAAAAGAGGCGGAGCCTCAACAGAAAGGCGGTGGGAGACCCGAGGAGGCAGGGCCGCCGCTCGGCTGGACGGCAAAGCCGGAGAACATACTCAGCCCCTGGAGATGGAGTGGAGTTTTGTCAGCCTCCAGGCCGCAGGGGAAAAGGGGCGTGCGCATCCAGTCGCTGTCCAGGACTCCGCCCGTTGCTGGGCTACCTGTAATCATTTCCGCGTTGTTCGGGCCAATCCTGCAGGCGCACCCACCATTGGTCATCCTGGGAAATGTAGTTCAGGCTCACTAGAACAGAAAGTGGAGCAGAAAGGACGGATTCTGATGGCGGTGTCCCGCGCTTCTTCCTCTCCTTGCTATGGGGATCTTGTGGAGAGCAAATGTCCCCGATCAGAAACCTTCCAGAGTTGCCATCACTCGTGCTGATTCACAAACTTTGTTTGGCATATAAACACAATGAAAGAGAACGTAAAAATGCGACTTCCTGATTTCCCAGTCTAAGGGGTGGTTCTTCCAGCCAAAGCATGGCTCTGTTGATAATAGCGGCTAACGTTTATGGAGTGCTTAAAGTGGGGTGGGGCCAGAAATGCCTACATCATCTCACGTACCTGACACCTTTATGATGTGGGCATACCTCAGAAAGGGTGGCTAACTACCCGAGGAGGCACAGAGGAAGGCAGGTTCGGGGGATGCCTGGCAGCTGAGACCCCGTTACAGCATGACAATTATTTATTAATCTATGTAGTCCCGACTAAACTGACAAGTGCCGCATCTTATGCTTCTATCACCAGCACTTGGTAAAATGCTTAGACCTAATAGTTTGTTAAATGAGCGAATGAATGTGATTTCTTAGGCTTGGTATACTGTGAATCAACCTAATTAAAAACAAAATTCCATATTTACGACATAGCCTCACTCAAGTCCTCTTGGAGAACCGACAAGTACCCTATAAATATCTTGTATCCAAAACCTGAAGCATATATTCAGCTTGGCCTTGCCTAAGAATTTTTCTGGGACATTTATGTTTGGAAGTTGCTCTCCAGTCCCATGTTACAAAGAGATCTACTAACCATGACTTCTCGGGTCTAGGTCCCAGAGAAGGCAAGCCTCCATCAGAAAAATTACATATTTTAATGAGCAGTGTGTGAGAGGGGCAGTGTTGTATTTTGTCTTCAAAGCCTGAAATTGATTACTGCTTTGGATTCCTGTTCTGCATGCTCCTTAGGGGAAAGACTCACTTTCCTGAACTTGACTAATCAAAAGTTAACTTAATGAAAGCACTTTTTTGTTTCTGAGTCAGAGTCTCACTCTGTTGCCCAGGCTGGAGTGCAGTGGCACACTCACGGCCACCGCAGCCTCGACCTGCTGGGCTCAGGAGATACTTTCAGTCTAAGCCTTCCAAGTAGCTGGAACTACAGGCATGCACCACCACGCCCGGCTAATTTTCTGATTTATTGTAGAGATGAAGTCTCGCCATGTTGCCCAGATTGGTCTCAAACCCATGGGTTCAGGCAATCCTCTCACTTCTACCTCTTGAAGTGCTAGCATTACAGGCGTAAGTCACGCACCCAGCCCAGTTTTTGGTTTTAACAGCCCTGCTATCCCATCTCAGACCTATTGCAACAAGACTTTTTTCAAATCCCCACGCATTTAAATCTGCTATTTCTCTGCTCACCTCAATTTAGCCCCTCCCTGCTCGTACCTAAGCTTGCAGATTCCTTTGATATGAATAGAAAATTAGGTTACAAAATCTCCTGACTGTGGGGAAAGGAATGAATGAGCTCAAACTGATTAGCCTCAGTTTCTGCAATCATTATCTGTGGCTCTCTTCATTTTCTCAAGGACTATCTGCTTAGTTTATCTTGGTTTGTCTTGGCCAGAGCTTCTACTAGCACCTGTTGCCTATGCCACAGGTAGTGATATAGTATGTGTTTCCCCAACTGGGTAGTGGTTTCTAAACTTCTGAGTCAACCTTTTGCTGATCCTACCACTTTAACAAATTCCTTCTAAGGTTTCTCCTGTCATTGACACCAGGGTTTCTCACCCTCAGCATAACTGACATTTGGTGCCAGATAATTGTTTGTTGTGGAGGCTGTCCTATGTATTATAAGACGTGTAGCAGTAGTATCTTTGGCCTCTACCCATTGGATGCTAGCAGTCCCCCTTTCCCAGTTGTAACAATCAAAAATGTCTCCAGAAGTTGCCAATTTTGGCCTCAGTTGCTAATCTACACTGACAGTAAGTCAGTAGTAAGTCACTAACTTATTAAATGAGTTACGCTGTGATTTATTTAAGGCATAGAGAAGCCTGACTCTGTCAGACGATTCACAGGGACCCTGCCAGCTGTAGCCCATGCTCTGACTGCTGAGTTCTGTAGCATTGTCTGGGTATACCTGCTTCTCAAAATCCTAGTCCCTGTGCAGGTCAGAGACATGGGCTGCTGAAATCTGGCTGGCTTGTCCAGACACCAGTAATGGTCCCAGATAGTTACAGTTATCATATCTCATTTTTCCCCCCCTGCCTTTATCTTATTTGTTGAGCTCTATCAGATTAAAAACATACAACAGGCCATTGTTTTGTTAAGCACTGGCCAGGCCATGTGCTCTTTGAGCTGTAGCTGCCATGTTTTCTTAGTTTTGGCCCCCTCCCCTACCTTGGGCACGTGAATTTCCTCTGTCTCTCCCTCTCTAATTTACTTTCTCAATAAACTATATTTTCCAATCTAAATAAAAGACACACAACACACAGGCATTGAAGGTTAGCATGCCAGATTTTAGGATTTCTAATCTTAGGCTTCATTAAAACATGTGCTCATTTGCTTGCAAGAAGCAGAGACTCATTTAAGAACAAGAGTTTAGAGTCAGAGCACACGTGAACTGAACTAGAATGGTATTAGGGACAACATATGAGGAAACTCAAGGACAGACCCATTTTATTTTTCCTTGTATAGTTTCACAGTCTTACCCACCTTCCCTTCCCCCCTTTTCCACCCACTCCTCATTCACTTACTATGGGCTGCACTTTCTGCTCTCTCCTTACTGACTTCTGTTTACTCATAGTTTGTGGTCCCCTGGACTTTAGCTTTGACTTTGCTCTAATAAGGAGCTGTAAGCAGGCAAGCCCTACCTAAGTTACTTAGGGTTAGATTCTAACAGGTTTGAAAGCCTGAAGTTTGGGAATGAGCCAAAGTCCTCAAAACGTACCCCTAAGAAGCCTCAAGAATGGTTTGTTTTTGTAAAGATAACAGAGTCACATTGATTATCAGTGGAGGGAGATTTTTTTAAAAAAGAGTTGGGCACGGTGGCTCACGCCTGTAACCTCAGCTCCTTGGGAGTTGGAGGTGAGAGGATTGCCTGAGCCCATGGGTTTGAAATCAGCCTGGGAACATGGCAAAACCTCATCTCTACAATAAATCAAATAATTAGCCGGGTGTGGTGGCACGTGCCTGTGATTCCAGCAACTTGGAAGGCTGAGTTGGAAGGATCACCTGAGCCCAACAGGTCAAGGCTGTGGTCAAGGCTGTGGCCCTAAGCATGCCACTGCACTCCAGCCTGGGCAACAGAGTGAGAGTCTGACCAAAAAAAAAAAAAAGTGTGGTTACACAACTGCACACCAGATGGCCCTATCTGCCCACTATATTAAAGGCTAAAGCCCAGTTCCTAGCAAGAATTTCTACATTTGAACTTCCTTTTCTTTTTGATTACTTCTACAATAACTGACAATTTATGCACATAAGATTGATCCATTTTTGCTAAGCACAATTTGGTATTATTTCCAAAAAAAAATATGCAGTAGACATAAGCTTTAGTGTAACATTCCTGAAGCTATATTTCTTTAGTTTATTTACCATTACTCTGAAATTGGTCATTTTTCTCCCCTTCCACCCTCAAACACACAAACACTCCCCAGCAACTCCTTTTTTTTTTTTTGAGTCAGATTCTCACTCCATTCCAGGCTGGAGTGCGGTGGCATGATTGTGGCCACCATACCCTTGACATGCTGTGTTCAGGCCATCCTTCCACCTCAGTCTTGCAAAGCTGGAGCCACAGGTGTATACCACCACACCCAACTAAATTTTTGGTTTATTGTAGAGATGAGGTCTCGCCAAGTTGCTCAGGCTAGTCTCGAACCCCTGGGCTCAGGCAATCCTCTTGCCTCTGCCTCCCAAAGTGCTGGGATTTCAGATGTGAACCACCACACCCAGCTCACCCCAGCAACTCTACAAACCTGGTTTAATGTAAATCACCATTCTCTGGGAAATTAAGCCTGATGATTTGGTGCCAAGCTCAACACATTAATAAGATGTGGGAAGCTTCCTGGCTCTTCTAATAAGTTCCTTACAAGAAGGTAACCAATAAGGAAGAATATTGAACAGAATTTTTAAGGAAAGTTCTCCTTGTCAGTGTGGCTTTATTTTGGAAGATGTGTTTGTATTTCATTTATTCATTCAAACGCATGTGTGAAAAAAAATCATGCTATGTCTCTTAAATGAGAGCGAGAGAGAGATTCTCTATATCCAGAGATCACAGTCAGTTAGGATAAGATCAACAATCACCCAAAAAGTTATGACTTGATTCTAAGAAAAATTCAAACCAAGACCTAATAGTATAGAGAAAGAAGAATGTTTCAGTGTTAGGTTTCCCTGTCGTAAGCTGTGTGACAGTGGCCAAATCCCTTAACGTCACCTAGTTTCATTGTCTAAAAAAAAATAAAAATAATAGTGGTGCCTACCTCACAGTGGTACTGAAAGATTAAATGAGTCAACACCTGTCATGAATATACCTGTCAGAGGCTGATCAGGGAAAGAAGCCAACATTTGGAATTTAATAGAGGGAATTTGTGACACAGGGCATGGAAGAGCTGAGACGACAATGCAGGCTAATGATGCAAGAGAGAGATGAGCAAGAGTGGGATGCCATTTCCAGGACTGAAGCTGGAGGGACATGGGGAAGAGCTATTACAAAAGCCAGGAAGCCAGAGACGAGGAAGGGGCTGACTTGTAGGGACTGGACCCTGG